CGCACCTGGTAGACTCAGACCATCGAGTGGATGCCAAAGAGGCCTTCCGAGTGATCTACATGGTACCCTTAGGCTACCCAAAATAACTTGGACAGCGTCTGTTAGCTACGGCGGAATCGGCCGCCACCAGGTTTCGCCGACCGATCTTGTGCGTCCAAAAGAAATTCGTAGCGGCGCCGCAGTTACCATGGTCAAAAGCTGCTAATCCAACAGCCAGCAGCTTAACACCTCAGCCGACTACCAGTTTCCCCTAAATGCTGAGCAGATTTTGACCCCCTTTCCCCCTGTCCTGACAACAGTTCTATTTTTCTACCAACTCGCATGGTTCATTTACTCAATTACCATATAAATGTAAAGGCCTGAAGAGAATTATCGAAAACAAACGTATATTCGCATTTCATCTTCCCAATATAAGGTGTATGGTAACAGTTTTATATTCATGATTCCGCCTGATGCCCAAAATTATAATTTGTTTACTAAATTCTTCCAGGTAGAAGGCGTTCTGGCTGAATGCACTTGTAACCCACCCATGTCGATGGTCCGAGTCAGTGAGGGTCGGTATCTTCTGGGGGAACAAAACATGCCAATTTTTGTCCGAGTAAGTGAGAATTTAAGGTTTTACTTTATCATGCTCTCCAAGTTCATCGTGGCTTCTTCCTCGTCATAAGTGGAATGACTGGCATCATAGCCACCTGAGCATATTTAGCAACTCCCTTTCTATTTATCTATTAATACAAAGTTTATATTTTGAGACAACCCGCGAGCCTAAGATAAGTAATTCTCAATCTTGAAGCATAGCGCACAGGGTCCAATTATGCTAATAACTACACACTTCTTTTAGGTGTCCACATTCAGCTGCCTTTTTATTGGATAACTGTATTGATATTTCTTCCTCTAAGCTCCTTCGGGGTCACGTTATGGTGCGCGTTGAAGGCGGCTGGGACACACTCAATCATTTCTTACAGGAGCACGATGTGTGCAGAAAAGGTACACCTCAGTGTGAGTTCAGAAAAAAATTGAGCATGCTTTAAGTCATAAGTCTCGTATTATTTCCACTGTAAATAGTCATTAGAGTCAACACAGCTGCTCTTGTAGTCCCATAGATTTCACGTAACCGTGAATGAATCTTGCAGACGGACAGACTTATGTATATATTGATGACATAGCAAAGAGGGAGGCTGAAACTGAGTTTTCTTCCTTTAAGGTGACACCTTCTCATTATTGGTCCTGAACCTTCCGCCACTTATGTTAGAGTCTAGTAAAAAAAAACAAGGGTGTTAGTGTTAGATTTTTATGTAGTTGTCAATCGTATGACCGTATGGACGCTACCTCATAGAAAAACTGCTTCAATTTCTCACCATTAGGTAACGATGCGAATATGAGCAATGCTGATTGGATAGATGGTCCCTTGCAACAGGAACCGCCGAAAGACTTTAAGCCGCAAGCGCTAGATCCAGAACCGGCAGACCTCAAGCCGACTCCTTATGCCTATGTGGCTCAGTTGGACATGGACCACGCAATCCTTCCGGGTGATCACACATATGAGGTGAGAATCCATTGGTATCTTTCGATCTCATCAGCCTCATCATGCTTGATGCTTCTGCCGCCGACGTTGAGGAAATTGACCTGAGGTAGCCTACAGCGACGCACTGCTATTCTAGACAGTAGCCTATGTTCTGGATATCATGAGGGGCAGATTCTACCGTGCGTACTTCCTCCGTATACTTTTTTTCGGGAAAGACTTGGTATTCAGATATACTCTTCTTTAAGCAGGATAAATTTTAAAAGAATCATGATAACCTCAACTGTCCCTCTATGTGATTGGTTGAACAAATAGTGGGACCATTTTGGACCTGCCATTCGTGGTGCATCTGTGGCACAACCCCACATGCGCAAGTTCCATCCATGTGGGGAAGAAGAACGCGTATGTAAACTGTATGTGGCCACGAACAACAGAAGAATTGCAGTTTCAGCTTTGATGTGGCAAAGGTTATACGCTGAGCTAATGAAAATATGGCCAGACTGCCTTTCCTGGAATGCTGGTCCTAGACTGGCGCAATTCACAGGTCCAAAGTCCTGAATCTCGTGTAAACTTATCTGCGTCTTCCCTCACTGAAGAGTTATATAGTGAGACCTTAATGACGTGAAAGTTTGTAATGACCTGGCATAGACCCTAAAAATCTACAAATTGCACCACTTTTGATTACTTTGGCTTCCTTTGATCATTAAAATGAACGATCAAGAGCCAACCGATGAAACCAACGTTCTTACAAACTTGTGACCTTCTACGATTTTCGGACAGCATCTCAAGATCCCCGTTTTACCTGTCGGTCATATCAGGGTAGCCAGTTAATCATATAGTATTTTTTTTACCTTTTACATATTTCGCGTCTTCCATTGCATTTTTAATGACTTGAATTTTAAAAACAACAAAACAACAACCGAAGCGGTGGCCCTTTTCACCGTCACGAACTGTGCTGTACAACGGGTGCCCCAGAGAGTTGTGAGCCTGAATGAGTTTCCAGACGTCACGGCACGGCATATACCGCACTCTCGCTTCCATCATCTAACTATGCCCGTTGGTTGGACGGGGTCCGGAGGATTGAACCGGAACTCGAGATCATTGACTAAAAAATGCTAAGCAGCTGGACTACGCATACAATGAAGATTATGGTCTTTACAAAGGGAACCAGGCCTTAATAGGAGGCAATTAGTGTCCCTATAAAGTGAGAAGGCCGCAGAAGCTACCCGAAGAAGGAGCCGTTGAGCCTGACTTTCAGTCCGTGAGACAGTCACTTCACATCTACACGGTACTGACCAAGAGAATAACCTCCCAAGCAGCGTTTGTCGGAGTTCACTTTTACTGTATCCTGCTAAGCCCCAACTGCGTCAAGTTTGTCGTCCCGAGGAATGTGCTTATATGGATACCTTCTTTGTTAGGCCGCCCAGAGCGTCCGGCAAACTTGAATCTGGGCAGCTGATATAATCCCTGGATGAAAACCCTAAAAAATTTTAAGGTTCTCCCGGGTCGCTTTTCACTATAGTTCATCTAAAATGGACGATAATCAACCAAAGTGTCCCTCCCGTAATGCACGCTGTTCTAGTTCAAATGACAACATCATCGCCCTTGCCATTGGGCTGTAGAAGACGTAGTTTCCGAAGAAGAAGATGTGATCACTGGAACAAGGATTTTATTTTCCTGACGTTTCG